CCTGACGGAGGATGAAGACATTGTCATATTTATTGGTGACTTTTGTTTTTCTGGGAATATTGTGAGTATCTGTATATATTTTTGTCCATTTTCTCATGGATTTGTATATCACCCTTTTGTTGTTTTATATATGTTAAAATATACTATCTATCCCCTTTCTTAGTATGAATTTCCAGGCCAGGAAAAATTTCAGGCTTATTCTTCTGAAGCTTTAGTTAATCACAGAGAGGGAAGACTCCGTAGGTTCAGGATGCAGGGGGGACAGTAGGCTTAGTAGTTAGAGACACGGTCTTTGGCTTTTGGAAGATCTGAATGAAAGTCCTGCTATGCCACTCACCGGCCGCGCGACCCTTGAATGATAGTTAACATCTCTGTACTTGATTTTTTCACATACAAATTGATTCTAATTGCAAAACTTATTTCTGGCAATTGTTGTGAAAATTAGATTGGTATTAATTAGAATTCGTTCTCACAGAACAATGCTTGATATGGAATAAGCACTCAATAAATGCAAGCTATTATAGTATGATACCAGTTATACAACACCAGCACAGACTTAAGAGATCTGGGACCCTCTGCAAATGAGCAGTATTCTTAATCCTTTCCAAACAGGATGACAAAATTCTTTTCTTAGGGAAGACAGTTCATGTGGAATATTTTATGGGTTGTTCTCTGCATCTGTGACATTCATAGTTTTGAGATCATTATGCAAACTATTCAATAATTTGGTGGTTATTTTTGAACTCCTACAATGTGCAAAGCTGAGGAATTAATTGAATAATTATTCAAAAAATTATCCATTTACTCTTGTCTCCTGTGTAGAAGAAAAACTAAATGCTAAAAGGCTAGTAAAGAGGTATAGAATTAGAGAACCAGAAAGAATTTCTAGAGCACCTAGCCCAACATTTCATTTTATAGGTGGGGAAATCAGTGCCCAGAGGGATTAAGTGACTTTTCTAAGGTCACACAGCAACCTGGCAGAATTGGTAGAATTGGGCTGCGGACCCAGATGTCCTTGCTCTGAGCCGGCCGTCTAAGGGCTTCACCAGACTGTGCCCAAGAACATGCCTCTTCTCCTGGCCCAAAAAGGCTCCACAATTTAAAGGCAAACTAACAGCAGAGAATATGCTAAAACCAAACTAAAACCAAACAGAGACCAGATCAGGTTGAGTCAGTGCTCTAGTCAAAGTTCATGAAGATGGCAAGGAAAGCGGACCCTCGCCTGTGCTCTGGGGAAAGGCATCGCGGCCACGACGTCCTGTGAGGACACGTTCTAACCCCTCTTTCATTTTCCTCCCCGTTCCTCCTAAGAACCACAGGTCGATTTAACAATGCCTCTCTACATCATTAGCAGTCAAGGTGTGGTCTGTAAGTCAGCATCATCCACAGGACGTGCCAGACCATTAGAAAAACAAATCTCTGCCCTGCTGAATCAGAACCTGCATTTCTCAGGGTCCTCAGATGATTTGTATCCACCAATGTCAGAGAAGCCGTGGTCTACACTGACCAGCAAAGGAAAGACAACTGTCCTGTTGTGTATAGGTCCATGGTGGGCAGTGCCCACCCCAGATGCCAAAGCACTGTGGGATACAATTTCAAGTGGCCCGTGAACTGGCCCCCACCCACAGCATGCCATCCCTAGCATTTTCAGCAGCTACAGCCCCTAATGCTCCACCATCTTGGAAGAAACAGCAAGGTGAACCCCCTCCACGAGGCTACACTGCCAGCACAGACTCCAGCTCGGCACACTATCATCGTGGGGTGGGCAACTTGGCATGCTCTTTCTGAAGGATTCAAAACCTCTGTTCTACATGATAGAAATTAATATGCATAGCTCTCTCTTTTCACATTAAGCACTAAATACTTTCTCCTAATATGTCTGCAATTCCTCTATGATCTCTGGCAAATGGGATAGAATTACTAGTATGTACCCCATAAGAAACTTTCACAAGAACAGAGTACATCTGGAACTAAAAGTGACTAAAGACAATAAGATATCTAATTAATACAGAATAATGTCTGCTATATTTGCATATTTTATGGTGTTCCCTTCTTTCTGAATAAGAGTTTGGCTAAATAGTCATTTATTTAGTTAGTTAGCACTAATTGAATGAAACAGTCTTGATCTAGTCATGGAAGATGTAAATACCAGAAGGTCCTTTTCAAAGGAATGGCTCATAGTTGATCCAGAGTAGCTTGATTGGATTTTAATTATGATTCCACTACTGATATGTTTATGACACTGAATTTGTTAGTTCTGTAAATGTCAGATTCCCTATATATATTCCAATAAGTAGATTTTCCTATTAATATTCCAATAAGTGAGAATGCTGTTAATACATACTTTATTGCTTTGCTATGAGGATTCCATCTAAGGAATTTAATATGCTATCTTATACACAGCCATTACTAAATACGTTTTAGCTACAATTACTTTCTACCACAATATGTTTCACAAATAAAAGATTGTTAAAATGTAGAAATTAGAAGACTGCTTAGCACATTTTGTAGAAGTAGTTAACTGAGAGCTGAGGCTCCTGAGTAGACGGGCCCAGAGCTCACTGACTGATTTCTCTGTGCTCAGCATGTGCTGGTGTGAGGAAAAGTGGGGAGCGGGGTCCTGTACCCTTGAGGAGCCCCTGGACCGTATGTGGAACTGGATACCCACCTTAGTAAAGTTCTGTACATGCCATCTGAGAGCATATAACAATTTTGAACACCAAACATGAAACCTGAATTCCCTTGTCTTGCAAAAGGGCACTTTTTAGATCAAATACCCATCAAACGTCTGTTCTAATTGCTCCCAGTCGGGGAGGCGCCCGCGTGAACCCGCAGGGCAAGTCCCCCTTTCCGCTGTGTCTGCCTCACTGCACATGCGTCCTCCACCTCTCACCCTCGGTTCTTCTTGTCATTTTTTTTACAAAACCGTTTAGACTCAAGCCGGTATCTTCTGCACCCCCAGTCCTTTTCTGTGCAGCCTGATGCCTGCCCCTCGGTCTGAGTCATTTGTTCTATTTCTCTGTGATTTCTCCGATCTTTGTCGACAGGCTCCCAGAGGCCACGTGCCGAGCAGTCGTGAGCGAAGGATCGGGAATCAGATGCCTCGGTTCAGCCTTGGAATGCACGTCGGGAGCTGTGAAACTGGGCAGATGCTCCATCTCCCCGTGCCTCAGCTTCCATGTATGTAAAGAGGGCATATTGTCCTTTGCCTCAAAAGGCTGTTTTGAAGGTCAGAAATAATATATGACAAGAGCAGTGCATGGCCTATAATGAGAGACAGAGGGAGAGAGACAATGGTGTCGGGGACTTGATTCTGGGTCTTGGCTCAACTGAATCACCAATGTCAACAAGAACAGTCTTCTATCTCACCTTCACACTATGTTCCTCTAAAAATCTAATGATTTTTGCGACTGTCCACAGGATTCACTGCCGAGGACAACCAGCCTCATAAATGATCTCTCATCTGCCACACCTTCCTGAGCACGGATCAGCTCACTGCAGAGCACATGAGGCCGTAGGGAAGCCCTCTTTCACTTACCACATCCTTCCTTGGCATAACTTAGCCATGTTCTTCTTGACACACTGATATGGATGAGCATAATACACATTGCTGTGGTTAAAAGTACAAGGTTGAGAAGCAGGCCCCCGAGGTCAGAGCCTGGCATTCACTACTCCCTGGCATGGCATGTATAAAGTGGAGTGTACTGGGACCTTCTTCATTGTTGGGTGTGATGACTAAACAACCCATGTGAAGTGTTATGAATACATAGCATGAACACTGGGAAAGTGATTAGCCAAAATGTTGGCTATAATTATAAACACCCATTTTGGTTTTGCATTCGGTCAGTTCTGCAGGCTACACACAGTAGCTAAGAATTGAGTACTGATTAATCCCCGAGTGCAGGACAAACACTCCCTCTTCAGAGCAAGTCAGATGCTCACTCTGTGGAATTGAGAAAGATGCTAGAAACAAGTGGTCATGCTAGTCTCAGGGCAGGTTAGAGAGCAGACTTCGTAGGTGACACCCCAGAAGCCACTTAAAATGTGTGGGACTCATCCCTGACCACGGCTTCGTAAACTAGAATGAATCAGCAAAGATCAGCCCACAACCAAGGCAGAACACCAGCTACACTAGTGAAATGTCCTATTGAGGGGAAAGATGTTCTAATGGGAAGACAGTGCACACCTGGACAGACCAAGGTGGAAGTGCTGATGAAAAGATGTGGAAAACCATGGTCTACACAGCTACATCACTTATGGGATGACACTCAGAACGTTCCGGAGATTCTGTGAACAACTACACTGTTGCTTTGACACGCATGAGAAACCTATTCAGGGGACGGTACCCAGTTTTGCCCTTTTGCTAGCTGCTGGCCAATGAGGTCGTCCTCAAGGGTGTGAACAGCACACACTGTTCCGCTGTTGATGGGGCTCTTGCTCCTCTCCCCTCTGTCACACATGCTGTATGAACTCTCTCCCTCCACTCAGCCACTTGTCAACTCCCTAATATGAGTCAATAGTCTTAATACAGAATTTGTCAACACCGTGCAACATGACTGGGCAACTCTGCCAGCGCAGGCGCATCTGGGGAGAATGAGGAGCATGGACAGGTGTGCCTCTGGCTTTGGAGGTCACTTCCTTTCACTGCTGTTGTTTTTATTCTTCCCAATCTTATGACATACTCCGTTAAATACTGAGTATTTAATGTGAGTTAAATACTTAGATTAGGCATATAGATTGACTGCATTCAATTTCTGAGACCCAGAAAGTGAATTAAGATAATTTTAATTCACAGATATTCAACTAAATGAGCAATACAACAGAACATACCTGATAAATTCATATATGACAAAAACTCAGTGAATGTAACATATCTAAACTTGTCCTTCAGAGGAAGAGGGAATGCTGATTCTTGTGTCACTAAGGCACATAAAAGAAGAGGGCAGGGAATGTTTCTGGATTTACAAGGTATTCCAGCCATTAGGCTGGTGATGTCAATGTCACTCCAACTGGGAATGACTTTCCTTGAACAGCCTTCTCCTCAGAGCACCCTTAACCTCTGTGTTCCTCAGGCTGTAGATCAGTGGGTTCAGCAAAGGGTTGAAAAAACTGTAAAACAGTAAAAGGATTTTTTGCTGCTCCTCAGGGTGGCGGGATTTGGGGGCCATGTACAGGATGATGGCGCTGCCAAAGAAGAGCCCCACCACGCAGAGGTGGGAGGAGCAGGTGGAGAAGGCCTTTCTGCGGCCCTCTCTGGACTGGATTCTCAGGATGGCACCCAGGATGTGTGTGTAGGACACCAGCACCATGCAGAGGGGCCCCAGTACAACAAAAATACAGGCAGCAAAGATGACTATTTTGTTGAGCCTGGTGTCAGCACAGGCCAGCTTGAGGACAGACAGGACTTCACAGAAGAAGTGGTTGATTTCATGAGGCCCACAGAAGGGCAGCCTCAGGATGAGAAACACGTGGACCAGGGCCAGGAGGAAGCTAAACACCCAGGAAGTGACGGCCAGGACCATGCATGCTCTCCAGCTCATGATGATGGAGTAACGTAGGGGGTGGCATATGGCCACATACCGATCATAGGACATCACCACCAGCAGAACACATTCTGTGTGAGCAAAAGTCATAAAGAGAAAGGTCTGTGCCATGCAGCCGGCAAAGGAGATGGGCTTGGCTGGACGCAGGAGGTTCACCAGCATCTGGGGCACCGTGTTGCAGGCATAGGCTATGTCGACAGCGGCCAGGTGACAGAGGAAGAAGTACATGGGGGTGTGCAGCTGGGGGTTCAGGGAGATGAGCCCCAGGATGGCCCCATTCCCCAGCAGGGTGAGGGCATAGAGCAGGGAGAAGAGCCCGAAGAGAAGCACCTGAATCCTCGGACCAACACAAAATCCCAGTAGGATGAACTCTGTAACCACTGTCTGATTTTCCTCCATTTCACTATGTAATAGAGAACCAGAGAGCTACATGACAGTTATTTTAAGACATCTATTTTGCTAAGAACTCACTGAATCATAAATTAGAAAGGTAGACTTACCTATTGAAACATTTAAAATTAAGTGCCTATCCATTAAACTAAACTTATAATCTGACATCCAATTTTACAAGGGGCATATGTCACCATTAATTACCTACCTAGAGCCATGGCATGGATGGAATTAAGAAATATAAAGCCAGGTTACAGAATCATGAAGTATGGATTGCTCAGAACTACGTATGTACAAATTGGTAAGAAAAATAGTGTGGGTAGTAAAAATAATCAATAATAGAAAAGCTTAAAGGAGAATGATACTTGAAAAGAAACAGTGTTACTAGTTCAGCAGGAGTCATGATTGAGTTACTATAATTATCTAAATCCCATGTTCATGGATTGGAAGAAATAATATTACAATGTCCATATTATCCTAAGCCATCTATAGAGTCAATGCAATCCCTATCAAGACGGCAGTTTTTACTGACATACTTTAAAATATCCTGTAAGTTACAGGAACCACAGAAGACCTTGAAGAGCCAAGGCAATCCTGAGAAAGAAGAGAACAGGCGCCATCACGCTTCTTGATTTCAAGCTACTTTATAAAGCTATAGTCATCAAAACAGTATGGTACTAGCATAAAAACGGACACTTAGACCAATGGAACAGAATTGAGAGCACAGAAATAAATTCATACATATATGATCCACTAATATTTAACAAGGCAGCCAAGAATATGCAATGGAGAAGAGTCTCTTCAATGAGTTCCACTGAGAAAATTGGATATTTGCATGTAAAAGAATGAAACTAGACCTCTACCTTACACCACTTTAAAAATTAACTCAAAGTGGATTAAAGAATTAAGTATAAGATAAGAACCTTAAAAATCCTAGAAAAAAACATTGGACAAATGCTCCTTGATGTGGGTCTTGGCAAAGATTTTTTGGATATAACACCTAAAGTACAAGCAACAAAATAAAAAGTAAATGAGAGGAACTACATCAAACTAAAGGGCTTCTGCACGAAAAGGGAATCGGTCAACAAAATGAAAAGAAACCTATAGAAAGGGAAGATATATTTAGAAAACACATATCCAATTATGGGGTTAATACCCAAAATCTATGAAGAACTCATGCAACTCAACAGCAAAAATAAACAAGCAATCCTATCAAAAAATGGGCAAAGGCCCAGAATAGACATTTTTCAGAGAAGACATACAGATGGCAATCAGGTACATGAAAACATGCTCCACATCACTAATCACCAGGAAAATGCAAATCATTCTGATTGGTGTGATATATCACCTCATACCAGTCAGAATGGCTATTATCAAAAGGACAACAGATAACAAATGATGTTGAGTTTGTAGGGAAAAAGGAAACTTGTGTGCTATTTGTAAGAAGGTAACCTAGCACAGCCACTACGGAAAACAGTGCGGAAGTTCCTTAAAAAATAAAAATTGGAACTGCCATGTTATTCAGCAATTCCTCGTCTGGGAATACTGAAGAAGGACACAAAAACACTTATGTCTGAGAGATACCCGTGTGCCTATGTTCACAACATTATTTACAATAGCAAAGACATGGAAACAACCTACATGTCCATGGACAGAGGGATAAAGAGAATATATTATATATGTGTACATATACACACATGTATGTACATACACACACAAAAGAATATCAGCCATTAAAAGAAGAAAAGCCTCCCATTTTTGACAATATGGCTGGGCCTTCAGAGCATGATGCTAAGTTAAATAAGTCAGAGAAAGAAAAGTACTATATAATCTCACTTCTGTGTGGGATCAAAAAAAAAAGGGCAAAACCAAAGTCATAGAAAAAGATCTGACTTGTGGTTACTAGATATGTAGAATGGGAGGAGGGAGAAATGGATGAAGGTAGTCAAAATGTACAAACTTCGAGTTGTGAGATAAATACTAGGGATGTAATGCACAGCCCGGGGAGTGTAGTTACTAGGACTGTATGGCATATAGGAAATAGACTAAGAGTATAAATCCAAAGACATAGTGCTCTATGCCAATTGTGTAACAATACAACAGTAAAATTTTTCGAAAAAGGAGGGTAAACGTCATAGCCTAGAATGGAAATAAAGAGGAATTAGAGCCATCCTGCTGTTAACTCAGTCCTTCATATTTGTTACATGCCTTATATCTGAAATCCCAAAGACAAGAAACTGATATTTGAACTAAGAACAGGGGCTGACCTCAGCAACATGAATTAACATATATTTTAGCCAATAAACAAATTACTGACAAATGGGTAATTTCGTTTGTCTCTTGACAAAGGCAGGGTCAGCCAGTTAGTGGGAAGAGCCTTTGCCTACGAACTTGATCATAGACTTGAGAGCAACAAGGTAATATCAGGAAATACACACGTGCAGAATTCCGGGAGCCTCCAAAAGCCCGCTCATGGCGCTCGGATGCAGTCTCGGGCGCGGGAGGCGGCCAGGTAGGGGGGCTGGGGGGCATCTGCGTGGGCGCGTCCCTGCCAGGGAGGGAAGCAGTGTGGGAAAGAGAAAGGAGAGGATCCATACGGGGCATGGATATGAGGTCAGAGAGCCGGTATTCATCTGCTCGTCTTCAAGGACATTCACAGGGAAAGAAGCCTGACCAGCTGGCACAAGGATCCTAGTCACCTGGCGAGTCTGTGTGCACAGTCTACATGGGTAGCTTAGGCGACCAGTAATGAGCAACCCTAGTCAGTTAGATCTCTGATTAGCCCTCTTGTCAATCAGCCATGAGGTACTAAACTAACAGGATTCCTGAGTAGATTATTTCCACAAAGAAGGAATGTTTTGATCAGCAAGGTCCTCTGCCCATTATGCTGTCGCATACTGAATTCTAAACAAACGAGCATTTAGGCACGGTGGTCTGCGCATTGGCCTTGGGTCTTTGCACAGCATGGTACAGTTCTTGAGCAAAATTTCCAAAGCTGGATCTAAAAAGTGAGGACAAGACCATGGACCAAGAGAATCTCACTGAAGGAAGATGTGGGGAAAGGAACACGTGCCTTCCCAACAGCAACAGATGAGATGCCTGTTTTCTTACGAGCATTATTGACAAATTGTCAAATCACCTGGACATAGAAGTAATCTCCTTACGCATGACCACTGCCTGTTTGATTTCAGGTTAATATTAAAATTTCTTGCTGCTTCACAAATTTTCTTAATTTGATTTTTGAACACAAAGTGTAGGAACATACTTGGCTGTGAAAAATACATTTGAGTCCACCCACTTATAAAATAATAATTTCCTTTACGAATTTTCCTTTATTTCCCTCAACATGAAAACATAAATGGAAAAAAGGTACCATACAAACCATGATTTTTTGAAAGCCTCTTTAAAGACAGATGGAAAAAAGTCGGAGTCCATTCATTTTTTCAGCACTGTAGCCTTACTTGCCTCCAATCTGATTTCTTTTAAAAGCAGCAAAATAGGCTTGTTCATTTTTATATCCCTGACAGTTAATAAACGTTTGTGAAATGACAAATGATTAAATATAAACAAATGAACATCTAAATATTGATGTGCTTATATTAGATCTGGTTTCCTTTAAAATATATTTTATTTTGATTATGCTAACCTCTTAGAAGTAAATGTACAGCAGTTCAGAAGAATTGTACGCCTCGTGAAATGTACTAACATAGGATTTTTAAAATTGGGTAAGATGGATGGAAGGATGTACAAAGGGTTATAAACAATTAAATGTTGGAGATACTTCCCTTTTATCTACCTTTTTAATTTTATTTGATACCTATGACTTAAATAAGGTTAGTTAGAAACAATCAAATGGAATGCAAACAGATTAAATTTCTTATGGGCTGTTCGGCACAAAGAGGGTGGCTCAACTTTGAAATGTGTCCCAGTTCCAAATGTGACTTTCAGGCACAGTAAAGTACATTAATTTATATAGGTACAATTTTGGAATTTCAAAAATATCAAATTATAACCTGGTTAAAAAATAATCAGGCAACTGTAAAGTTCTAAAGTAAATATCTAAGAAGAAAATCATTTCATATACAAACATCAGAACTTAATGGAACGTGTATTTGAAAAAGTAAATCTCAATGTGTGATGAACCGGCAAGTTCTTTGCTAAAGCAGTGGGTGTGGGCACAGAATTCCTAGAATGATCACGTATTGTTAATCCACAGCTTAGCTGAACTGTATATAGGGCTTGTGAGTAACAAGGAGAACTGAAAATGAATGCATCTTATACTTACATAGTTATAAGCCAAGACTTTGCAAAGTTGTCTTACAGGGTAAGAGTTGATAGGATAAGTGATTTTTCTGGATATAAGAAAGATGGTGGACCATAAAGAAGAAATGATTGTCAGACCCACATGATATTGTCTATTGGAGAATCTGTAAAAAGTTGATAATAATAGATCATGTTATTGATTGCGTTCTATGCACCAGGCACCATGGAAGCACACAGTGAAGCAGGTCAATGTTTCTGAGCTTTGTGAAGATTTTCTCATAAAAATGTGCTTCAAGAGCAGGGTTAAATAAAAAGACACACGTTAAACAGAAAAACCTTACAGAAAGAAAATGTAAAGTGTCATCCCTCTCCCACTTTGCTGAACCAGCACCTAACATCTTTTTTCCTTTTCTATACTTTTCCCATTCCCACTGCAAAAACTTATCCTCCAACCTATAGAAAATCACACACTGACACATATTTATTGAGTACATTATAGCTGCCTTGTAAAATCTCTAATGCTATACTTAATGAAAGATAACTATGAGACATAGATGTAGTAGTATCCACTGGGCTTTGTATTCCATTGCAAGAAATATGATCTCATAGATTTAGCATGAATGTGACTTGCTGACAACAAATGCAAAATTTTTATAATAACCAATATATGAATTTTCCTGAAATTGTGACATCATTCCATAATATATTCTATATATATTTCCTGTGGCTAGGGAATTAGTTCATAA